GAAGCCAAACCCTGTCATCCACAGTGGGGGCTGTGGCCAGGTGATGCTGAGTGTCCACATGCCTCCTGCGGGCACTGGCACCGCTGGCTTTGCCTGGCAGGGGTAGGAGCAGGACAGGGGTAGGGTTGTGCGAGCAGGTCACTGGCTGTGGGCCCGTGTGCAGCCCCTGCAGTGAGTGAGTGGCTTTGGAGGCCGTGCAGAGAGCACAGGCAGACCCTGCACAACCAAACTGAGGCCTCGTGGCACCTGGCTGTGGAATAGCCTCAGGATTTTCTCTGTTTGCATCTCTGGCAGATGACGTGCTTTAAGGAAGGTGGTGTGCAGCAGGGAGGGTTTGCTGCCAGGCATGCGGCTGTGGCTCTCGGAAATAACTGATCTGCCAGCACCCCTGGCCTTGAAATCACCGAGGGTGGAAGAGGATCTGGAATTTGCACATCTTGCAATATCAGTCCTCCAATGATTTGTTTGCCAGCTTATAGGATAAGGATCTGTATAAAATAAACCCTCAAATTTATGAAATACTGCAGTAACAGGCTGATGCCATCTTTGTCCAACAAATAGCACCGGAGATACCAAAACTGTTTGGCTCCCAGGCTGGGCAGAAGCTGGCTTCTCCCAGGCGGCACAGAGGGATGCCAGAGTGCAGCGTGGACTGGCAGCATACCATTGTCCTGTCCTCTTCTCTTTCCACCTCCCCTTGCACCCCTGCCTCACACCTCCCAGACCCACCCCCCGACCCCACAGTGACCTTCCTGCAGGGGAGGTGCCGCTTACCCTCGTGTCCTCGGTGTCATTCAAAGTCCCCAAACTGTGTAATATCACACCGTTTACTTGCAGGCAAAGCTTTTCAGTCACATCAGAACTGGGGGTGGTGGCAGTTGACCCCTATCCTTGCCGAAATAAACTCTAGGATAAGAGAAAATTCATGAATTGGGAAGTTTAATCAGTTTTAAGGCAAGCTCTGGCATGATGTTTTCAGGTTTACTGAGGTTTTCCAGTATAATTCATATAGGTACTTTATGAAGCCGACTGTGTTGAGATTCTGTGTTCTAAGGGTCTGACACAACAGCTGGCTGGCAGATCTGACCTGCCTCTTTCTAGGGAAATCCTACAGATAATCCCCAACATCTCTGGATGAGCTTGAATTGAAGTTTACACTCTCTAAATCTAATAATACATGATTGTGTTGCTTATAGCAAAAAAGTCAAATTTTCTGTTCTGTTTATATTGGATATGCAGCAGTGGCTGCTCTATCAGTCTCTTCCTTTTTTTCTTTTCCTGGGTTTTGAAAAGCAAAAATTAGTTTTAACAGAGTGTCTTGATGGATTGCACAGATCAGGACAGAAAAATCCTGCAGTGATCAGAGCTCTGGATAACCCAGGTGTGAATTTACAGATTGAGAATTACTTTTGCAGTTTTGTATACCCTGCACTACAAAGGACATTAACACACTGTTCTTCATTTGACTCTTACTGCAGCTGTACCCTCCTAGAGGGAGGCTTTTCATAGGTTTAATTTACCTTTTTAACCTGATATCTGGCTTTGATGTGGAGTACAGGGTAAATCTTTCCATTTGGAGCGCTACGTACTTGTGGTGAATAATTAATTATCTAATGAATAAAGTCTTTCTAATGAATGGTATTCAGTGAGATCAGATATATAGAGAGGAAAGGCCACTCCCTACTCTTTCCCTCTTCCTTTCATTCAAAGAAGGAAAAAAAAATATGTCTGAAAAGACAGCAGTGCCTTTCAGGCCAGCAAATTTTAGAAGAACCAGAAATTAAGGCTTTCAAAGCAAAAGAAGTACGTCAGAGTTTAAAGCAAAGTTTAGGTGACTGTCTAAAAGGTCAGGTCCTGTTAGTACTGCCCTTTCCTGAGGCAAACAGTGGTGCAGTGAGTGCTGGCAGTGATGCACAAGCTGGTCAGACCTTTTGACCTAAAGGTGTCCTGAAATGAGGTACGTCTTCTGCGAGATGGTGGGGCTGAGCCCCCCAGCCACCACTGAAAGCTCAGCTGAGCTGTAGGCTGCTCCAAAATGAGTAGTTCTCTCCCCGCCTGCAAATCAAACACACGGGCATTAACCCAGGGGGACTTTAACGGGGATGGTGGAGGCACAGAATGGCTCTGCTGACCCTTGGACCCTTGGCTGCCCCCTCCTCCTCCTGCCCTGTCCAGCCTACCCTGGGCCAGGATCAGAGATGCTCAGCTCAGAAGCAGGAGGATTCGGCCCCAGGGAGGTTTAGAGCTTAATTAGGAGTTTTGTGAGCAGAGATGGAGGTGGCAGTCACCATCCTGGGGGCTGGGGTGCCCATGCTGAGAGCCATGTACCAGGTCTGCTGCTGCTTGCTACTCCTCACAGCTTTTGCTGTTGGGATCTGAGTAGCCAGCCGGGGCAAAGCTCCCCACGGCAGTTCTGGGCATGGCTCCCTTCCATTTATTCTTGATGGGAGATGAGTGACATGCAGGGGCCCTTCCCCACACAGCCAAAATCCCAGATGAAGTCCTTCATGTTTCATAAGAATACTTAGATGTGTCCCCCATTCCCCCTTTTGTCCCCTGTCTGGCAGGTGCTGCTTCCCTGGGAGCCTTTCCCAGGCTCACTGCAGCCATCTCAGCACGTTCTCCTGCTGGGCTCCCATACGTGGGTGCCAGCACTTGGCAACACCTGCAAGGACCCATCCAGACATGGGCTTGCTTGGGCAGTTAGTATCAGGTTTCCATTATTTTGTACTGCAGAATCATCTGGGTTGGAAAAACCCGCGAAGCTCCTTCAGCCCAACCATGAACCTCACCCTGACGGTTCCCAACTCCACCAGATCCCTCAGCGCTGGGTCAACCCGACTCTTCAACCCCTCCAGGGATGGGAACTCCCCCCCTGCCCTGGGCAGCCCATTCCAACGCCCAACAACCCCTTCTGCAAAGAAATACTTCCTAAGAGACAGTTTGACCCTGCCCTGGCGCAGCTTGAGGCCATTCCCTCTTGGCAATCAGAAGGCTGATTCCTTGGTTCAAGAGACTCATCCCCCCTCTCTGCACCCTTTTCTCAGGGAGCTGTAGAGGGCCAGGAGGTCTCCCCTCAGTCTCCTCTTCTCCAGACTAAACACCCCCAGTTCCCTCAGCCGCTCCCCATACGACCTGTGCTCCAGACCCTGCACCAGCCTCGTTGCCCTTCTCTGGACACGCTCGAGTCATTCAATGTCCTTTTTTGGGTGAGGGACCCACAACTGAACACAGGAATTGAGGGGCGGCCTCACCAGTGCCAAGTACAGGGGTCAGATCCCTTCCCTGTCCCTGCTGGCCACGCTATTGCTGATACAAGCCAGGATGCCATTGGCCTTCTTGGCCCCCTGGGCATGCTGCTGGCTCATTAATAATCCCCCCCGGGTCCCTCTCTGACTGGCAGCTCTCCAGCCACTCCTCCCCAAGCCTGTAGCCCTGCTGGGGGTTGTTGTGGCCCAAGGGCAGCCCCCGGCATTTGCCCTTAGTGAAACTCCCCCAGTTGGCCTCAGCCCATGGCTCCATCCTGTCCAGGTCTCTCTGCAGAGCCTCCCTACCCTCGAGCAGATCAACACTCCCACCCAACTGGGTGTCATCTGCAAACTGACTTGAGTTTACAAACTTGTACTTCAATAATACTTCCCTATAAGTTAACTAAGCAGATTTTTACCCAGGGGAAATTTTTAAAGCACACCCCTCCCCTTCTGCAGCTCTTAAAGTGGGAGAAAGCAGCTCTGGAAGAGGAGGGGGACAGGCAGCATGGCAGGACCCTCGTCAGCATCCCTGCTTAGATCACAGCCAGCCTCACGCTATGCATGAACAGTCGTATTCTTTTTCTTCCTTGTGGCTATGTGGGTCACTTCTCATGCAGGGAATAGTCTTATGGCAGTTCAGGACCTGTTCATGTGGAAAAGTTTTCCTTCTTAAAAAAAATTTTAAAACCCATAAAGCTTGCAGAGGAGTTTTGCCTCCAGGAACAGGAGAGGGTTTACGCTACGTGACCAGACAGCATTACGTGAACCATCTGCAAGTACTCCATGGCCCACAAGCCACAGTTTAAAACTGCTTATGCAGAGCTGACCATAGGAAATACTTACCGAAAAGAAAAAAATACCGCAGCTTCTCTGTTGTGTTCATAACCAGATGGCTCCAGTGTAGTGTGATCAGATTTTTCAGTCAGCAGCTATAGGAAGGGAAAGTACAGATGGCCAATGTTTCTAAAGTGGTTATTCTTGATTGTTGCCTGTGTAAAGGTTTAGTATGCCTTTGGGTCATGATATACAACTCAGTTTATAACAAAGAAAAAATGCAATTTAATGTTAGAATTGTCATCTTAATGAAGAAGCTATTGGAGCGAAGTTAACTCTCCTAAAATTTGGGAGGATGGCCGGAATTACCTGGTTTTATTAATGGCAATGCTTTGAAATGACTGTGTAACACTGACCAGCGAATATCCTTATCACCCAGCACACTTGATGTGCTTGATAATGTGTGTCCATAATTCACCTACCAAATACTGAGTATGGCTTGATTTTTGTCCATCATAAAGACACATCTGGGTTGAAACACAAAATACAATTTATTAGTAATTAGTTATTTTTTTTTTTTTTTTTGTGGAGTAAAGAAACATAAAACGCTCTGTAAAGGTGGAAGAACCAAATTGTGAATGTTCATGTTCTCTCTTTTGCTAGTACAACTTCAGCAGCATGATATAGTGTACTGTGGCTTTTTTTCACTTAACTTGCCAACTGCTAGCTCTGTATTTCATGTCAGCTGCTTTGCAGTTGGGTCTCTTACTCTGCAAAGCTGTGAAACTGGGGAGACTGGCTGGGTGTTTTGAACAGCCAGGGAAGAGAAGTACCCAAATTTATTTTTAAATGAAGTGTGAGTACTTAATTCAGCGACACCCTTTTGATCTATGCAATGAAATGCTTGAAAATTATAACCCACATAATTCTCCTGCTGTTTTCACAATCAACCTGCAATTGTTTCACCTTCAGGTATCTCCTAGCACAAAACCATGGGCAATTTCAAAGGGCATGCCCTTCCTGGAAGCTTTTTCCTTCTTTTTGGCTTATGGTGGTCAGTGAAGTATCCACTGAAGTATGCCTGTCGAAAAAACAAGAATGCCTGCTACCTTGGATCCAGGGCAGGATTTCAACGCCTGGAGTTTGTTGAGGGGATCATCAAGGCTGTCTTTGCCCTGATTGGTAAGTAAAGTGGACTTGGAGCAGACAACAAAAAGGCTATTCCTTATTTTAAAAATTTTTAATTTATTTTCTCTGATTTTTAAAAATTTTATTTACTGATAAAGCATATCTGATTGTGTTTTAGTATTTTGTCCTTTAAACACCCTGGATCTAAGAACTAGTGGGGTACTGCTATTAATTCCATAGCTATGACTGTGACATGGTTTCCATCCATAGTGCTCTTCTGCTTCTACTTCTTACGGTCTCCCAGCTACATCCCAGCTGGTCCACATGAGCATTCATATGCTGCTCATCACTGTAGGGAGGGGGTAAGATATTTAGGCAAGGGGCTTTCACATGCAGAGTGGGAGCCTGAGACTGTGGAGGCATTGCTTTTCTATTTTGAATCCAGCTGTCTCAGATGTTGGTAGTCTCTACTGAGTTATTGATAAAATATGTAAATGCAGCTGCTTCTTCATTAAACATTATTCAAAAGTGAAAATATTCACAAAGAAAGACTGACCTTCAGTTCTTATTGCTGCAGGACTGTTGCAAGGGGGGGGGCTGTTTCTCCTTCTGTTGTGGACTGGCCTGGGTACAAACCCACAGGGATGGTTTAGTGAGCTGTGCAGCCAACTGGTAGTGCCTAGTGCTTGTTTACATTCCAGCAGGCTGTATGTTAGCAATTTACCTTCATAGAGTAAATAAGCTGAATGACAGGGAACCTGGGGAGCTCCGCACATGTGGCCCTCAAGTTACAAAACATCTTAACGTTTAGTATTTTTAGATTCTGTCTACTCTTCTTCAGATGCTTAGAGCTGCCTGGTTTGTAATCAAGGTGCAGGTGGTGCCAAAATCTTGGGTTTGTTTCTCCTTCCCCTCTGGGAGTTGTATCAGTTAAGATACATCAGCACTGAAGTGATGTTTTGTGTACAGTATACACTTTGATATGCCTTAAAATATTATAGAAAACCTACATAATCGTGTTCATTTTGTGAGGTTAGTGGAGACATCTTTCCTACAAATCTCCTAGTCAGTGTCTAGAGGTAGTTGGGCAGTTAAAACACTTGTCTCATTTTTATTTTCACCCTGAAAGAAAGCGCTATTATTTTAACATATGGTAATTGCAATTCCAGTGAAAAATGTGGACAAGAAAGCACATCAAGGGCAAACAGTAAAAGCAGCAGAAGGAGGAAAACCTGCTGTTTCTGCGTTAGGAAAACTTGAAATAAGGGTGGGAAAACACTGCATTTTCTCTGCAGCGTATCTATTTGTACAGCAGGGTGCTGGCCCACGCTTTGTAAACAATATAATTAACGTTTTAGAAATGTAACATATTTTAAACCCTTCCAAAACTTCATTGATCATATGAAGGATCTAAAAGCAGCTTTCCTCTTGCTGCAGTACTGCAGCTAGTTAGCAAGACACCGAGGGGCCAAGGTAAGGGAGGCGGTGGAGCAGCAGTTCATATACAAACTCGGTATATGTTCTCATGGGACTCTTAATAACTCTGCACGGTGGAGGGATTTCCTTTTATGGCTTTATAGGAAAAATCCCCTTTGAATTAAGAATCTGAACTCTACCATCCTGCATATTGCAGGGGACTGAAATGGTAAATCTTTCTTTTGGGGACTTTAGCATGTGTTATACTCATGTTTGAACCACTGGGAAAGGCAGCTGAAAAATTCAGTCAGCAGACTACTACAATAGCAATTGTTGTTTTTTTGTTTTTTGTTTTTTTTTTTTTAAAAAGGCAGCACAGAATAGCTGTCTCAATTTTCACTGCTGGAAACTGCAAGATGCAAATAATCCCAACCAGGAGTGGAGCTGAAGCCTGGTTTCCTCTGGGTTTCTCCTCTCCAGATTATATGATGCTGAATACATGCTTGAGCTCACTCTGTGGTCTTTGCCTCAGCAAAACAACTTGTTTCATCTCTCCCCCACCCACTGTCTATTTCCCCGAAAATTTATATAAAATTAATATCTTTGAGGCCTCTGTGCATTCTCACTTGAATTTGGACAGCACATTAAAAACTTTATTTGGAATGGCTGAACTAGGCAGAAGGAAACAAAATGCAGCAATCACCCAGAGCAATTCTCAGGCAGTCAGACGAAGCCCCACGTTGACTGGCATTGTGCTGCTTGGGGATATATTGTTGCTTTTATTGTTTGCATAAAGATTTATCATCAGTCTATATCTCAAGTACCAGGGCAAATAGTTAGAGTTCTCGCTTCATGCGCAGGAATGGTGGCCGAGCAGTTTGTTCCCGATGGACCTCATCTGAAGTTGTATAATTATGAAGAAAAGCACTGGGATCACTTGATGAACTGGCAACATGCCACCATGTACCTCTTCTACGGCATTTCGGGGTTGGTTGACATCGTGGCTCATGGGACCAACGCACTGCCAGTGGCCATGGACAGGATGATGCTTTCCCTGGCCGTCTTCATTGAAGGTCCGTGCACCTCTCCCTTCAGAGGAGCAGTGAAACTCACAGAGGGGTTATCAGTCTTGGGTATGGGAATCTCAGATCGGGCTTAGAGAATCAGCCCGCGGGAGCCGCGTGTTTAAGTCCCTGAAATGCATAAAAAAGATCAGTCTCAGCCCTCCTTAAACTGCTGAGGGTTTGTCTGCGCTGCAGCACAGAGGTCACCCACTGCTGAGGTGTATCTGTGCTTTCCGAACTGGCTCAGGTAGCAGCAGAAATGTTATGAAAAAAGCAGCACAAGCCTGTTGTGGGTAAGTGCTCAGCAGCTTGGGCATGTGCTTCAATGTCTGTGCTGACACAGTATGCAACTTGAAGGAAAAAAAAAAAAAAGCCTGTGGGAATGCATTTACGTGTGCAGCAATTGCATATTGGAGTTGCACTGGAGACACACTCTGTTTATGTTTTCTGTACACACAGTTTATCATGTATCATCCCTCTTGTTACACTGCAGAGACAGATGAATGAGACATTTTGTTAACGTGTTTTAAATGAAAGGTGACAGAACTGCAGCTCCCCATGTAGTCTCCGGGTCTGAGCTGTGCGTGGGAGTACACAGGCATCAGTCCTAAAAAATTACTCTCAGTTCAACTGAGAAGGTGAGATTGGCATAAAGAGCAATGCTAAAGCTTCACTGTTTTCTAAAAGCAGATGCAGGGAGAAATTACAAGGGAAGAAAATATCTTAAACTAATCAATTTATTCCAGGTTTTCTCTTTTGCTACCACCTTCATGGGAGAGCCATGCTGGATGTTCATGTTCATCAGTTACTGCTATTTGCTATCTTTGGAGCTGCTGTTTGCATATTTCTGGAAGTTTTCTTCCGTGGCAGTATTGTGCTGGAGATGCTTCGTACAAGCCTCTGCATATTACAAGGCAGCTGGTTCTGGCAGGTAGGTCACTTCTCTGCCTGAGGAATTGCTTCCTTCACCAAAATTAGCCATTTACCCCTTTGCAGTTGTTTCACAGGTGATACAATATGCCTTTTAAACACAGAGCTCAAAGGACTCAGAGAAAACAATGAACTCTTAGTGTCCCTTTAAAGAGATACAAGTATTTATCATCTCTGGTTTACAGATGAAGAAGCCATTTCACTTCTAGTGTCTTCTATTTGAATCAATAAAAAAGTGGTTTTGTTGAGCTCTGCCTTGTGACTGAACGTCCTCTCTGATCTCTGTAAGATCCTGTTCACAATTTGCCAGCCAAATGGCAGTGGTTTTGCAGCCTGGCAGTATATGCTCTTCTTTACCAAGCCAGTCCCCACTCTGAGCTGCCGGAGCAGAGGAAATGCCCAGCCCAGGCTGGACAGGTGAGGCAACACCCCATGGAGATTTCATGAAGAGGAACGATGGTGCAAATTACCTTTTGTGTTGCCTGCCCCCTTTCACTTTCTCAAAAGCATTTCAACCTAGGTTTAAAAGGGATCTGAGTTCCCAATTCACCTTAAGAGATTTAGTGAGGTAGAGCCTCCTGCTTTTCCAGTGTTTGGAAATCAAGCAGAAGTAACAGCCCAAACTTATATTTCAGGGATGTGGCTCCCAAAAGGACTCTTCAAAATGTAGCTGCCAGGCCTTTGCTCATGTGTGATTCTATCCAACTGATAGGTATTTGATAGCGACTCTTTTTCTCTGCTGTCAAACAAGAGAGAGAATTTAATGAATTGCTGCGATCCTGTCACAAGGAAATAGGAGCGCTGGTGCTGATGTGTGTTTCATCTTATAGTGGAGAACTGAGGTCACTCCAGTGATTTTTCTTTCCGGCATGTCTAGACTGGCTTCCCTTTTTTATATGCTGGCCAGACACGATTAATAAAAATGTTTGCTGTTTCTTAGGAGAACTGGACACTCAGCACAAAATCAAATATTTAAATACTTGCTCTGGCAAGAGGACAGACCTCCGAAACAGCAGTATTTTGCTATAAGTGAACTCAATAGCCTGGTGTTGCAGCACTTGGTGTTTTATTTTCTTGTTTGTAAACATTTCTGTGGCGATTTAAGAAGCTTTACATAAGAGGAATTAGATGCAACCATTTATTCTTTGTTGTCTGCCCTGTCTAATTTTAGAACAAGTTATTTAGCTCTGAAGACAATATAGGTTTTGTTTCAAAGTAAAAAACTGAAGAACTAAAAATACAAGAGATTTAAATGTGGCTTTTTTCACACCCACATCAGACTTCAACTGTATGTGTGACTGACAACCACATACTGGCTGCAGCATGACAGATTTGTAAAAGGTAAAGGGACTTTCTTTCTGCATCATCAACACCCTCATTCATTGAATTTTCTGCATGGAAATGCAAAATGCACTCCTCCTCCCCTCCTCTTCCCAGCTCCTCAATTCTCATCTGAACCGCTGAGAGATTACTTTGAAGAGTATCAGGCAGTGCAGAGGGCTGGTGCTTGTCATGCAGACCTCTGTGTAGCCATGGGATTACTGGTTTCCCAGTTTATGCATCAATATGAATTTGAGCTTTCCCAGCTCTGAATAAACAGATCAGCTATGTATTTCACAAGAACTTCTAGCCATGGGTGAGAAGGGTTCTTTTTTACGTAATTTCAAAATCTGACCTTTTCCCTGGATGGCCCAGAAGAAATAGACATATGGCTTGTCTTTATTTATTAATTGGTTATTCATCTTCTGAACCATGGAACACGTTCCTAGATGGTGTTGGGCAGAAGTGAGTCAGTGCCAGTGGCTGGGCAGGTTTTCTGGTTGGTGCCATGTTTGCAGTTCAGCCCATACATGGCTGAGCACCAGCCCCTTTCCTTTCAGTGTGTACCTGTGATTGTTGCAGGACTAGTTGGGCCAGATCCTTAATTCTCTGGGCAAGGGCAGGGGGTCTCTGGGTCTGGCTCTGCATCTTCAAAGACATTTCTGCACAGAACTGTGTAAAATGATCCATCGCATCTGAGTGTGACTGCAAAGCTGTTAACAATAATCACAGAAATAATCATCACTACGAGAAAGTTAAATGTCTGCCTTGTGATGGGTAGCATAATACATGTTACAGCATAGGATATAAAATGACATTTGCTAAATATCTTTTATTACAGATTGGTTTTGTGCTTTATCCTCCAAACGGGAGCCCAGAGTGGAATCAGACGGATCATACTAATATGATGTTCCTGACCATGTGCTATTGCTGGCATTATGCCTTTGCCTTTCTTATACTTGCAGTGAATTACACAATTGTCAGCTGGTAAGTTACTTGAAACACTAAAACTTTGGACACCTGTCTATTTAGTCTAGCAGGAGCTTTATTTTAGAAAAGTTTCACTGACAAATCAAAAGGTTTCCACAAAGTAATTAACTGTCTTGCCAGGTAAAATAAAAATAGATATTGCTGATCAATGAAGACATGACTCATTGCATCAGTAGAAAGGGGAAAAACATTGATAAAGTAAAGCTCTGACAGTATAATATTTCTCACATAAAATGATTTCTTCTTGATAGTCTTCCACATCTGTAAGTGCATAAAAGGTTACAAAGCGGAGAGACCTTTTTTTGCTACAACATCTTCTCTCCCAGTGCTCATCTCTACTAATTCCAAGTGGCTTAATCAGGCTTCATGACTTAACACTGAAGATTATTGGACAGGTTTCATTGTTAGCAATTTCCTGTGATTAGACCTGATTTCTCTTTCAGCCAGTTTCATCCCCTAAATTCCAGTTAGCCCTTTTCCTCACTGCCCAGTGCTCATTCTGACAAAATTCCAACAGTAGAGTTAACTTAGTTGTAAACATGAGCCTGATTCTGCCACCTGTGATCACCTTCTGCCCACATGACCGTACCAAGCTTTTGCCTGCACTGTCCTAGACATGCTTCTCACCCCTTGTTCTATCCCTACCATACCAACAGCCCTGTTTAATCATGCTTTGGCCATATGTAGTTCTTGCAGTCTTGCTTTGCACCGAAGAGGTGCCATGTCTTTTTGGATCTCGGTCCAAAAGTCACTGACACTGAAGGCTAGGTAACTGCTTTGTTGTGTGAAGGATGCAACTATGAAGAAGGTGACAGCAACGTGACATCCCTCCTGGTGATGGGAACGGCAGCTGCTGCAGCATCAGACAAGCCCCCTGAGCTGATCACAGCATAGAGTTCCCGTCTGTGGGGAGGTTGGCCAGGCTCCATCTTCTTCACAGATCTGTAGTTCTCTCCAAGTGAATGCAGCTATCGGTCTTGTACTTGCACAACACTGAACTTTGTAGATGTTACGCCGAGGTTTGCTTGAGGTGTGCACGCTTCGGTGCATCCGTAGGAGCGAGCTCTTACAAGCAGTCCCTACAGGTGGTGGCGCTCAAGGTAGCACATACTGATGTCATGGTACACGCTCGCACTGCATAGCACTCATTCATGAGAAAATACTGGGTTCTGCAGTTAAGGCCTGGGGTTAAATTCTGCCCAGATTCTGCTTGCAATTGCTATCTCCTCTTTATATTGTCCTCCACAGTGGCCAACTTCTAATCTTCATAAATCAGTCATCCTAACTTCCCCATGAGATGCAAGAGTTAAACAGGTTTTTACCATGTAAAAATGGCCAGATGAGCCTTTGAGTTACTACTGACAACTCTTTTTTTTATTTGTTGTGTTGTTTACAGGGCAGTTCGTTCAAAGGTTAAACAGTCCCAGTCCATGGAAATGGGATTACTGAAAACATCCGAACGAGATCAGGAGTCAGAAGATGAAATTTAGTATGGATGTGGCTTGACTAGTTTACCTGCTCTACTGTTAGGCTAAATGATACCTCATATCTAGGTTTTCCATCTTATTCATTCTTTACTACAACTTGCTATGCAAATATAATACCCCAAGTCCTGTCTACATCTACACGGTTACATCTCTGTTTGCAAAGGGTAAGCTTGGTATTGATTTGTGGTGGCTGCACTAGTACCTTGCTTATCACATGCTTCAAAGAAAACCAGACTAGTATTAGGCAGACTTGGACTGGATGAGGTGGCATGATGAAGTCTGTGTGTTTGCCTCATTAAAAGCTAAACAAAATGTTTTCCAGCTGCTGCTGAACAGACTGTTAAATTTCCATAATTAGGGTGTCCAAATAAGTGTGTGTGTTGCCCTGCAAGTAACTGTGCATAAATAACTGTGCGGACCTGGGAAACAGTGGAACAAGGTAAAAAAAAATCAGTCTTGCATCTGTCTTGTCTAACACCTTCATGTCTCTGCTTGTGGTTTTGTGTTAAATGGAAAGAACTACTCCCTGCAAACCCACTCAGTGCTCCCTTGAAAAGTGTGTAGTGTGGTCACTCCTGCAGAGACACTGCCGAGCTTGGTAGGAGAACCAGAGGGGTGTATGATGATCAAAACCCGCTTCGGTTATTCATTCTTGTAGCTAGATAGTCCTGTCTCTATGCTGTCACCTGACTTGAAAAGCCGTGAAGTGACTCTGCTTTCCTTCAGCGCCTGGAGCAACTTCTTTTCCAGAAAGACTGAGGGGTGTCCAGTGGGGCAGCATCCAGCTGCAAAGCCAGTTTTTTTCCCAACATTATTTCCTTTCTTTTGATGGAATTTGGTGGAATTTCAACAGGGTTCATAGCAGACACGTGACTGGACCCAGCATGTGGGTCAGGGAGGGGTGATGCTGCTCTGCAGGCAGGATGAGGGGATTTTCATCCTTTTCCCTGTGTTGCCCCTTCGAGTGTCTGGCAGCCTGCACAGTGCTGCATGGTGAGCTGCAGGGGGGCAGGTGTTGCCTTCAGCTAGCAGCTAGTGACTTAAAAAAAAAATAAAATTAAAATTGTATTTCTGTTCTCCACTAAAGTTGAGGTCTTGATCCAGTGTAAGACAGAGTGCCCTCCCCAGCACTCGGTGTTGTGTGTGACGTGCTGCAACCTCAACTAAAGGGAAGTAAGTGATACGTGGCAAAAGACATCAGAAAATGATGTTGTGTATAAATACGCTGCCCTCGTGGGGCAGACTTCTGCAGCCTCGCTCTGGGTCTAATACATCTTTCAAAAGACTGGCACGGGCAGCTGGGCAGGAGGAGCACTTGCTGTGCCAGGGCATGGGTGCACTGCTCTCCCCAGGGCTGAGCACGGGTGTGTGCTGGTGGCCGTCCCGTATCTGTCAGGGGCCAGGTGATCATTCTGGAAAACAGAACACCTTCTAAAATATTATTTTCTAATTATTTTCAGAAACAGGCTAGGGCCAGACAAGAAATTCTGTTCAGACAGTACCGGTGGATTGGGTTTGGTGCCGCAGAAGCGTGTTCCTTCTATTATTTTAATATTTTCAGATGACCCTAAGGGAATGTAGAGCTGGGCTCTGGTAGATGAATGAGAGCTGTAGGATCTGGTCCCTCTACTTTTGAGTTCCCCCTATAATTTTTTTTTCAGTGTGAACCAGAAAAATAAGTAGCATAAAGTTATTAATTGCAGTAAGCTGATTGCCTAAAAAGACAGGCAGTAAAATAGTTTGTAAATCAAAGGGATCCCAGGACTCAGAAAAAAAAATTTAAAGGTTTTTTCTAAAGCTATTTCCCCTTCAATGCAACATTTACTTCATTTACTTCATTTACTTCATTTTTAGGACCCACCTTTTACCTTCTCTTTTTCAAGGAGCATTTTCCTTAGCTGCACATGCTCTTAATGCCAAATTTTAGACCACCAGGCTTATCAATGCTTTTCCAAAATCAGGGAGGGCCTCTCTTCTGAAGATCTTCAGAAAGTACTTTGCTTCTCATAAACAGAAACAATGCAAATTTCTTCTCTGCATTTCTTGGTAAATAATATTAAATACTGTACATATATTAAGGTGCTGTATCTCTAAACTAAAGGGATAATCTAAGCGGGGAGTAAAGCATGATAACCTGGCTGAGTTTTGATATGTCTTCTTGGAAGTCTTCAGTGGGTAATTTTAAAAAATTATTTTAAATCTTTTCCGTGTATTGTGAAGTGATGCTTGTAACCAGGTGTTGGGTTATCCAGCTGAATCTCCTTTGGAAAGCAAGAAGAGTTGGGTCACAGGAATTTCTCTGTTTAAAAATGTAAAACGGGAAGCTGCAGATGCATAGCCAAAGACCACCACTTTTCTTAATAATTGTTTGCCCTTCTTCAGTGCCTTTCTCTGAAGGGTCTTGGAGATTTTGTCAAGCTTTAAAGAAGTCTGTCTCAGGGCACTCTTGTAAGCTAGGTATTGGTATGGCATTTTTGTAGCTCTGCGACTCAGCTTTGCAGTGGTCTCACTGTAACCTCTGAATTATCTGATATTTACTCCACTCTGCGAATCTAAGACTTGAGTTTCATTACTGTGGTTCCATTAAAATCAGATTTTCTGCTGGCATAAGCCAGAGGGAAGACCCACAGCTTTGCTGAGGAGTTTGCCTGTTAATTGCAGCAGAGATACGTTGGCCAAATGCAGTGTGTCATTATGTGCAGCTAAAATCTTACTTATATTGCACCATATCGCATCTCTAAATTGTTGGGATTTTTTTAAAGGGCAGGATTCATTTCCTGTTAGCAAGGTTGGGGTATAAAGCTTCTGCAGTGCTGGGCAGTGAAGATGGTGGTTATGTATCAAAGAGAGCTTGGGGATTACCACAGAAGTCTGTTGTGATAAACCAATGTCAGTTGACAAAATGAGCCCCCCAGGATTCAATAACCTGAGTGAGCTGTGAATGTGGAGGGTGCTTAGCAAACTCTCCTTTTGAAAAAACTGCTTTTTCAGAAACAAAAAGTGCCAGTACTTGAATGTGATGGCCAGAAGAGTGGCTGCCTGCTGTGGTTCCTCCTGTGACTGCCTTGGCTTGGTGGCTCTGGCTCTGTCCTTACCCACATCCAGCAGTGCCTGGAGGTCTGTGTGTTTTCTTGGGAGAGAACCTGAGGCAGGACTCAGCCTGCTGAAAGGTGTCACCTGTATCTCCCTCTGTCTCCCTGCTGTGAATCTTCTGTAAATGATCAAAGAACTGGAAAAATAAGTCGTTCAGACACATCTGCTGGTTTTGGTGCAACCATGTTTAGCAAAGATGCCTTTAAAGAAGCCCAGCCTGGAGGCTAATGCAGTCTGTGACACAGAACTGCAGGGGAGGCTTCTTATAAAAACTCTCTCTTCACATATGAGAAGGTGGCATTATTAAGCTTGAAGAAATACAAGGAATCCTCCAACCTCAAAGGAACAGTAGTCTCTTGGATTAAATTTTTAATCCTTACAGTACATGCAGAGTGAGTGTCATAGTGGGGTTTTGTGTCTGATGTATTTTTGGTGCCACAAAGGGAAGAAACAGCCCATTTCAAGGTGGGTTTTTGCTACTCAGAACACCTGACCTTCTTCTCAAAAGGTACAACTTCTGGCGTTTCACTAGCAACAGATTTTGCTTGAGTTGAATGAGTGGAGGGAAGTCTGACAAGTTTACAAATGCCACTCAGAAAAAGGTAACTGCTCTCAAGAAAATTTAAATTATTGTTAAATATTGGTGCCTTTGAAAAACTATATGGTAGTTTATAATAGACAAGATATGCCTGTAATTTTATTTAAATAAAATTGGTTTATTCATATAAGATGTCTGTCATGTTTTCAGGAGAAAAAAATATAACCATTTATGGGGCAGGATGGGGTGGGATAGGTATGTTAATCTCATAGTCCACCCAGACATCTGAATGAGTCGTACTTGAGTTCAGGCAAGTTCAGTGCTCGTTGTCAGATGCCCTTGATTCTAATATTTAGTTGTCATTTATAACATGGGTGAAAACAGCTCTTTTTGAGGTCTGGGCAGTAGCACTTCACAGATCCATAAAAGTCAAATGCTACAGAAAAACAAAGTCCCAGATATGGACCCGGTCTCCTGTGTCATATAGGATGGAGCAGCTGGCAAGCCAGGTAAACAGAACTGCAGGAATGGGAGGTTTCTGTTTTGATGAGCTTAATAATAAAAATATTTAGGATATACCTGACAAAAAGTAACAAATAATTTTGGCCACTCATAGACTGCATTTTGGGGATAAATTGATGATTCATTAAAGATTACAGTCGCGTGGCTTGCTTTCATTATTCCATGGATTTGATATCACTTTGCTGCATATTTAACAGATAGTGGGTTTTTGTGGAGAACTTTGGGTCGGATGCACTTACCTGCATATAAGAGAACTAAATTTTTTCAGGACCAGGTAAGGAAGAGAAAGCCGGCACTTCTTAATTTCCCATTTCATCTGGTTGCTCACAAATCCAAAAGACTGACTCACATAAGACTTCTGAAAGCCACCAGTCAGAAACTTTAAAAATCTAGAAGTAGTTTTAAATAAACCATTTGGGGAATCAACCAGTTTGCATTAGAAAATCAAATGCACCGCTCTCAGTGTATCCCCTGGGATCAGCTATCTCCAACCACATCACCAGCATGACTGCTCACTCTCATGGTCACCCTCAGGGGAAAGCTAGTGACAGGCTCTATGCCCCATCCCATTCAGGCAATTGTGTAAAATGCATATTTTGGCATTGGCTCTGTGTAACACAGACCTGCTTCAGTGTGTGGCAGGAGCTTGGCTCACAACAGGAAGGTGTTTCCACCTGTAGGGATGACTCTACCCCTCATGGTTGCATTAGTGGCGTGTTGAGGCACAGAGTGGGGCACTCAGGCATGGCACAAAGAGTCTGGTCTTGGGATGGTGTTGCCTGAGCCCAAGAGAGCTCGCTGGATGTTGTCAGCAGGCTGCAAAGGGTCAGTAGCCCAAAGGAAAAGAGACTGAAACCACCCTCCGGACAACAAGAAAACAAGATGTCCTGGAGAAAAAAAGAGCATCTCCAAGCTAGCAGCCTAAAGGCAAGGCTGCTCCTGCAGTTCCTGCGTCCCCAGCCACACTACCGGGTGCACATACACTTGCATTATAGTCTGGATCAAGAGAGCACTTTGGACCTCACCACTTGTCCTAACTTAGTGCCAAGGTTTGCACCGCAGAGAGGAGTCGAGGTGTGGGAGCTGGAATCCCTTGACAAGGAAACAACATTTGATGGTGCTCTCTGGTGTTGTGCCTCGTATACTCCAAGCACTAATGGGCATCGGCATCCCCGTGACTAAACCAGAGTCTCCAGATGCCTGTGGTGCAGAACGGCTATTCTGTGGAGATGCTCTATTGGCACCACCAAGAGACACACACATGGGTAAGGTGAGGAGTCTGTCTGGCTGGTGGGAGTTTTATCATGAGGATAAACGGGTTAAATGTGACTTTCTTTTGTTTACATTATCTGTGTCCCTGTAAAGCTTAGTAACTGTGATATCTGCTCTCTATTATGGGAATAAAAAATTCTTTTTCCTCGTAGCTAAATCTAGCTTGAGCTAAAACTAAATTTGTCAGCAAGGAAATTCAATCCTACTGGATCATTCATCCTTAAAACAGGCCCTAGAAAACTTTGGTGTATCTGGTACCTTAATGCCCTTGTCCCACGGGCTTCAGTTCCTCTGGACTACAGCAGCTGGGGTGGGATTTACTGCTATGGAGGTTAGTAGAAGAGAATAGAATGTTTTTTAATCCAAAAAGCCCTTTAGCATATGCAGTGGTGGATGCAAGCCTGACTCCAAAGGACTGCACAACAACAGCACGTCTGTTAAAAGCGGAAAAGACAAATGGAAAACTGCTGGGCACTTGCCTTTAAAATCTATTCTAGGTAAAAGTTGTGATTGCTCAAAATATGTGGCAGTAAAAGGTCTAATATTTGTCAAAT